TCTTTCTGCCTGGTTTCAAGCAGGAGTACAAGGTATGGTCATAGAATAATAGAATACTAGGAATGGAAGGGACCTTGAGAGGTCATCGAGTCCAGTCCCCTGCCCTCATGGCAGGACAAAATACTAGACCATCTGTCTAGACCATCCCTGATAGACATTTATCTATCCTACTCTTAAATATCTCCACAGATGGAGATTCCACAACATCCCTGGGCAATTTATTCCAGTGTTTGACTACCCTGACAGTTAGGAACTTTTTCCTAATGTCCAACCTAAACCTCCCTTGTTGCAGTTTAAGCCCATTGCTTCTTATTCTATCCTCAGAGGCCAAGACGAACAAGTTTTCTCCCTCCTCTTTATGACACCCTTTTAGATACCTGAAAACTGCTATCATGTCCCCCCTCAATCTTCTCTTTTCTAAACTAAACAAACCCAATTCCTTCAGCCTTCCCTCATATATCATGTTCTTCAGACCTTTAATCATTCTTGTTGCTCTTCTCTGGGCCCTCTCCAATTTCTCCACATCTTTCTTGAAATGCGGTGCCCAGAACTGAACACAATACTCGAGTTGAGGCCTAACCAGTGCAGAGTAGAGCGGAAGAATGATTTCTTGTGTCTTGCTCACAACACATCTGTTAATGCATCCCAGAATCATGTTTGCTTTCTTTGCAACAGCATCACACTGCTGACTCATATTCAACTTGTCGTCCACTATAACCCCTAGATCCCTTTCTGCCATACTCCTTCCCAGACAGTCGCTTCCCATTCTGTATGTATGAAACTGATTGTTCCTTCCTAAGTGGAGCACTTTGCATTTGTCTTTATTAAACTTCATCCTATTTACCTCAGACCATTTCTCCAATTTGTCCAGGTCATTTTGAATTATGACCCTATCCTCCAGAGCAGTCGCAACCCCTCCCATCAGCTGCAAACTTAATAAACGTACTTTCTATACCAATATCTAAATCATTGATGAAGATATTGAACAGAGCCGGTCCCAAAACGGACCCCTGTGGAACCCCGCTTGTTATGCCTTTCCAGCAGGATTGTGAACCATTAATAACTACTCTCTGAGTATGGTTATCCAGCCAGTTATGCACCCACCCTATAGTAGCCCCATCAAGGAGGTCCAGAGCAGGCAGGGAGTGAGAATGCATGGAACAAACTGTTCAGAAGTGCAATGCTACTCTGCATCAGAGCATCTGGTTAATTATCCCTTCCTGCTCTCCACAGTTGCCACTATTGTTATAATAGCCTTCTTCTCTGAAGCTCCAGCTGTCTGAAACAGCCTCCCTGTCTCTCTCTGCTTCATTGACTCTCTTCAGCTCTTCTCAGGGCTCAGCTGGAAAGTTCTCCCTCTCTCATCTGTACCCCTCTGCTGTTGTTTAACTTTGTAACTATATTATTTATAGTGAAGTGGTCATGGTCTTAGGATACAGTATGTATGAAGATATTAATTGCTTTGTATTGAAAGCACAGTGGAGTGGGGGGAGAAGAAATAAAGACCTTAAAGGTCCCCTGCTTGATGGCTCTATTAGCACTGTGTTCACTGAGCCAAAGGAAATGCCAGGGGTGCTGGGAGCCAAGCCTTCCCTCCCCCACTTTTTACCATGGGCCCCTCCTTTGCCCCTCCTCCTTGCCCTGAGGCCTTGCCCCAGGCTAGGCCAGTGCTCCAGCAGCTGGAGCCCAGCTAGGGATCACTGTACACCTATGGAGAGCCACATAGCACCCTTCACACTGGGCAGGTAGGGGGGTAACAGTAGTCCACACCCCTCATCTCCAGCCCCCAAAATCCCTAGCTAGACCAGATGGAGCATCTGTGGCTTCCGACACCTGCCAGGAAGGCTCTTACCGTGGCTGGGTTGTTGCTCCATGGCTTTGCTCCATGACCAAAGCCAGGTCAGTGTAAGAGCTGCACAGGTGCCTGTGAGGAGCCATGGATCCTCTATCTGACCTGGGCTGGGGGTACTAGAGATGGAAATATGGGATGGGACTATTCTTGGGTCCCCCAGCTTTGTGCAGGTGGAGGGCCCAGACTTCTCACTGCACTTAGTTTTCTGGCTTAGCGGGTGTGGGCCTCAGGGGGAAAAGAAGGGTATTGGCTCGTCCACAGAGTAGCCTACCTCCCACTTTTGATAAAACTCCACGTACCCATTTTATTTTTTTAACCTTAGAACATTGGACAACCCTAAAATGTTAATTAACATAAGGACTGGCCAGTTCCTGTCTGGGAGTTACTCGAGTAGCTATGGACTTGGTCAGTGGAGAGAGGTTTTCTTGCTCTGGGAAGCAAGGTCAGGATAGTTTACAATTGTAACTACCCCTCTGTCTTCCTGGCCAGAACGGAAAGCATCCCTTCTCATTCTGTGGCCTTCTGATCAGTCACAACCTGGTGCCTCTCAGGGCCAGTAACTTATACAGAGTAGGGACACCATGGGTGAGAAGAAACTAACAAAGAGCCCTGAGCTCAGTGCTCAGATGAGGAAACAAAGTGCTAGCAATCAGCACAAAGGCTCAAAGAGAGGGAAGGAAAAGGGGAGAATTAGGTGCAGAATGCAAATTCAGGCCCCTACAGAGGAGGGAGTGAGAGGAGGAGAGCGGCAGGAGCCAAGCTAATTTGCTCCACTCCCAACTATAAATCCTAAAGATTTATATAATTTTCATCAAGATTACTGACAGCATGGCTATTTTAACTCTGCAATTCTTCCTTGCTGTCATGGTCCTTTCAGAGGTTCCTTGCTGTATGAATAGATTCTGAGGCAGTTTTCTGCCAGTGATTCAGAATAATAGTCCACTGCATATACATATATATAGCACCATTGATCCAAGAATCTCAAAGCTCTTTCCAAACAACAATGAGACCGACAGCACCCTGTTAGGTAAGCAGCTGTTATTATTCCCATTTCACAAATAATTAGCCCCAGCTAAAGAGAGTACGTGACTTGTACAAGCCCCCCTAGAAAATCAGCATCAAAGCATGTGATATTGCTTGCATCCTGTTTTCCAGTCCTGTTCTCAGATCACCATTGAACCCTGCCCCCAAGATATCATGCCTCCTAGAAAGAACACTAATGCATTAGTGGACAATGAAAATGATAGGGCAGAAGTTTTAGGAAGGCCCAACAATATAAAAGGGAAGGGCAATAAGGTGAAGAGGCAGTTCCCTCGTATAAGATTTAATTACAAATCATTGGCAGAGATGTGCCTGTTCCTGGTCATGTCACCATTGGAAAAATAAATTTCACATAGTCCCTGCACTAAGGAACTGTCTACATAGGAAAATTTGACCAGTTATACTTCTATAGTTATTATGCTAGATTTAACTCTAGATAGTTATACAGCATGGACTCTCCAGATACAAAAATAGCTTTTTTGTTTGTTTGTTTCGTTTAAATCTCTTTCCAAAGTAACAAATTAAAATCCACTCAAAACACTTTCATTCTGGATTAAGAGTGTTGACATTGGGAATTACACCAATATAACTATCAGTTTAAAGTCACACCTTATTTAATACAAGTATAACTTCCCCTAGCTGACAAACCCCGTAATCTCAGGCTGCTAAACTAAAATGGTGGCCATGAAATGTACAGAACAGAATAGAAAAGAATCGACCAACAAAGAATCCTCTTCCTCCACCCACTCACTGAATTCTGTGATCAATATTTAACAAGGTGATCTGGCCATTTTTTTAGATCCAGATTATTATCTTCTGTGTACTACAGGTTGAACTACTCTAGTCTGGCACCCTTGGGACCTGTCTGGTGCCAAACCAGAGAATTTGCAGAACCATGGGAGAGCAATATTGTCTAGCAGCATAACCAACACTTCCACTGCCTCTTAGAAGACATTTATGGGTAAATTAGAGCTAAACAACAGCACAGAACACAGAGCTAGGACTGGTGTCCATAAACAAACTTTATGGGACTGCAGGAAACTTGGCCACACCCATGATAACTAAAATCATGACAGACGTTGCTGGATCAGAGAGTGCTGGACTAGAGAGATTCAACCTGTATTACTACCATTATTTACTAGTACCATAAGTGTGGCATTGGGCTGTACACAAGGAGTAAAGTTATGTTCCCTACGTTAAGCAGGTTGCAATCCAGGTAATCATAGATTACCAATGACTGGATTTAGAACTAGATGAACAAAGTGCATTTGTTAACTTGGTAGTGCTTCTCCTACTATTGCTCTCTTTGAAGGAGAGGGACTTTATTTTACATTTTATTTTTAAATGATCAATTAAAGGAAAGTTGTCAGGCCACATGAATTGTTCTAATTACTGAGTTTTCACAGTATTAAATACTCTAAGTTAAATCAACTAACATTTAGCAAACTGCTTCTACTTTTCCCCCCACTTCTTCCTTTCTAAGAGCTCTCCACAGAATTAGCAGGTAGGTGCTAATTGCAAATGATTAAGTGCTCACCAGTCTTACACTTCTTATTTAAATATTAATGAGATGGATTAGCATGGAACATGGCTTGTATTAATTTTATAAATGGAAGTATGCATGGATCACTGACTCCTGTTTTGTATTCTAAGAAGCATGGAACAAAAGAAAAACAATTTAAATACAAAAAGTGTATTATTAGAATACCATGTATTTCTGTTGGCAAGAAAGAAATGAAGAACTAAAGGGACTGAACAAAATAAAGATAAACACTATTAATTTGTACAAGCTGCATATATTTTTTTCAATAACCAGAAGGTGCAAAGCTTATCTTTTAATAATAGTTATCTCATCAGTCTCTGTAAATGAGCAAAATAGGTTACACATAAGTCAGGTTTAAATTTTTCCATACAGCACAGATACACACACAGAAACATATCTTGCTTTTGCTATAAAGAAGTAAGTTGGCTATTCTTGAAATATTTCACGTATCTGAACTCCCATCACAGGACCACAAGAAGCCCATTCAACATCCTAATTGTTCTCCCCTGTCTACAAAGATGACAAGCTATTTCTAAATGGTATTTTCTTATTATTATGAATCACCTCTCCTTCCTCCACTGCTGTTCCTCCTCCTCCTCAGATGCCATGGAAAATTAAAGCCTATTTTTCATGAATTGTTGTGTTAGCATCTACAACATTTTGACTAGCTTAACCCGGCCCCTGAGACTCAGGAAAGGTGATTGCATTTCACTGTAGAAGAGAAAGCACATCTGTGATTAAACTGAAATTAAACTGGTTAAAAATGTAAAATTAATTGTTTTTATTTATGGCAGACAGAAACAATTATATGCTGATACCCAATCTACCAAATTTCCCCTCACATAGATATTGTTGAATTTCCCTGGCAAATATTTTTAAAATATATATAAGAAGTTTGCAGCCATTTGCAAGAATGTACATGGCCATGGGATAAGAGGGAAGGTCCTTTCTTGGCTTGAGAACTGGTTAAAAGACAGGAAACAAAGGGTAGGAATAAATGGTAAATTTTCAGATTGGAGAGGGGTAACTAGTGGTGTACCCCAAGGGTCAGTCCTGGGACCAATCCTTTTCAACTTATTCATAAATGATCTGGAGAAAGGGGTAAGCAGTGAGGTAGTAAAGTTTGCAGATGATACCAAACTGTTCAGGATAGTCAAGACAGAAGCAGACTGTGAGGGACTCCAAGAAGATCTCACCAAACTGAGTGACTGGGCAACAAAATGGCAAATGAAATTTAATGTGGATAAGTGTAAAGTAATGCACATCGGGAAAAATAACCCCAACTATACGTACAGTATGATGGGGGCTAATTTGGCTACAACAAATCAGGAAAGAGATCTTGGAGTTATCATGGACAGTTCTCTGAGAACTTCCACACAGTGTGCAGAGGCGGTCAAAAAGGAAAATAGGATGCTAGGAATTATTAAGAAAGGGATAGAAAATAAGACCCAGAATATCTTACTGCCCCTGTATAAAACTATGGTACGCCCACATCTTGAATACTGTGTACAGATGTGGGCTCCTCACCTCACAAAAGATATTTTGGCCTTGGAAAGGGTTCAGAAAAGGGCAACTAAAATGATTTGGAAGGGTTTGGAACGGGTCCCATATGAGGAGAGGTTAAAGCGACTGGGACTTTTCAGTTTAGAAAAGAGGAGACTGAAGGGGGATATGATAGAGGTATATAAAATCATGAGTGGTGTGGAGAGGGCCGATAAAGAAAAGTTATTTATTAGTTCCCTAAATAGAAGAACTAGAGGACACCAAATGAAATTAATGGGTAGCAGGTTTAAAACTAATAAAAGAAAGTTCTTCTTCACACAGCATGTAGTCAACCTGTGGAACTCCTTGCCAGAAGAGGCTGTGAAGGCTAGGACTATAACAGAGTTTAAAGAGAAGCTAGATAAATTCATGGAGGTTAGGTCCATAAAAGGCTATTAGCCAGGGGATAAAATGGTGTCCTTAGCCTCTGTTTATCAGAGGCTGGAGAGGGATGGCAGGAGACAAATCGCTTGATCATTGTCTTCGGTCCACCCGGTACTGGCCACTGTCGGTAGACACGATACTGGGCTAGATGGACCTTTGGTCTGTCCCAGTATGGCCGTTCTTATGTTCTTTCTTATATTGCAATGTTAATTACTGGGACAATATGTAAATTATGTTGAAGTGCAAAGTCAGTGACAGTGACTATGTTTTTCCAAGTAGCTGGGGGGAAAGAACTGCTGTTTGCAAAGTATCTTTACTTAGGGAAACTGAAAAGGGGAGTTGACAAAATTGAAATTTGGACTATAGCATTATGAGGTCTCAATCCTTTTTTATTTTTAATATATTTGTGATCTACCTCCAATCACTTGAAAGGAAAAAAAATATACAAGTATCTTTTTTAAAGGGGTCACACAAACTATAATTAAATATTTAGAATCAAAACCATCATTGTATCAGTTTTTTCCCTGATCCTGGAAAACACATCAGGATGTGAATTTGTTCATCCACGTGGCTAAACATATTGACCTACTGGTTAGACTGGAATTACTCACATACTTTAAAGTCTGCAGGATCAGGCTCTCTCTTCCTTTTACAACTTTTTTTCCTTGAGGTTGAAGGTAATAAGAGGAAATTAGTTTGCAATATTCAGATAAAATCCAGTCTAGAAGAAGTAAGCCTCAATTATCAGAAGAGTTGGAAGAATTCTGGGGCAGATTTAACAGAAGCAGAGTGATGGCTCCAAACATAGTAACAACTGAGATAGGCAACAATTAAGAAGGGGTCAATTACCAATCTCTGCCCACAGATATGTATATAGAACTGCTCTATAAATTAGGGAAGTGGAGTGCAAGTATTAGAGGAAAGAACTGGCCCATAGTTTTGTTATTACCACCACAAAGGCACAGTGCTGATAAAAGAATGTATGGTTGCAGATGTAATCCCCACACCTACTGTGTGGCACCTAGACCACTGCAACAGTTAAGATCAAGAGACCTAGACAGCATGGGCTGGAAGCCAGCCAGCATTTAGCTCAGCAGTTAGAGGTTCCTATAGTCAGCTCACAAGGTCCCAGAGTCAAATCTGCCTTGGTGGTGGTTACACAAACACATCAGCAGTGAAGATGCATTCAGTAAGATCTTTTGCTGTTACCCAGGCAAACTAGCCTTTGGTCACATAAGAGCATCATATCCATCTCTTACCTCCTTTTTCTTGGCTACTGTTGCTGCTAATAATGGCATTACTAATTTCATCAGTGATACTGCATTAAGATCTGCTAGTATATGCTTCCACATCTATGCTGAATCCCATTAATTTCAATGTGACTCAGCCCAGGTTCAGATGTTCTGTGCTAACAGATTCTGATGTAACATCAGGGCATTATTTAGTAGAGAAATGAAAGTTCATCACAATAGCACATTATCTATTAGTTGTATGTTATGTTGCCCTAGGTAACTGACACATTGCTAGCCTGTAGCTACTTACTAATTTGGGCAGCTTTGTTTGTCTGAGTCCTCAGTTTGTTTCTCTCCTTCATATTTTATTTATTTTGACTTTAAAAATATGTTTTGTGGAAAGGAGTAGGCAGGTATCTCACAGCTAATAAACTACAGCTTCAAGTCTGGTTAGTAGACATTTGGTTTTATTGAGAACTGCTTATTAAAATATTTTTTTTGTAAAAGTTCATTAAACTATCTCTTTTGAAGTTTTAAAAAAAGGATCAAAATTCAGTTATTTTGGCCATCTCTAGTGTTATGTGAGATGAGGGAAGATTTGCTCCCCGAATTATTAGTGTGACTGTTTTATTTTGATTTCCTTTTCCATTTGATGTCATTGTATAAAACAAATCCCTAGTTCAGTGATTTCCCTTTCTCTAACTAGGAATAGTATAGCTTCCTCTCCATAAGGTCCATGTGCCTCCAAGCATTTATGGATTTATCTTCACAACAGCCTTGTCTGACAGATGGAGAACTGAACCAGAATGGTTAAGTAAGTTACCCAGGAACAAACAGCAATCTGTGGCAGAGAGAGTTTAACCCAGTTCCCTGGAGACCTACTATGTTAACCTTGGTCCCTTCTAATCTTTAGCTTCTCAAAGAATAACAGAAATGAGGTTTTGCAATGGTGATTCAGATCTCATAGGTACATCAGTCCTTCTGAGAGGCTACTGTTGAGTCCACAGACAACTACTGACCTCTCCAAAAGCGAATAGAAATTTTCTTCCGGAGCTTGAATACCATAATAATAATAATGGTAATGCTTAGCCCTTATACAAGGATTTTCTAGAGCAAGGTCTCATAGAAAAAGGAACATGTGCTCATATAACCCTACTTCTGGCATTTTCCAAATTTTGGGTGCGTGACTTAAATTTAGTATGAATGATGATATTGAAGTTATGCTAGTTTCCCCTGTTCTTAGAATAGGAAATATATTTGTTGCTAAATTTATCTTTTTTAAGTGGGGACCACTACACACTGGCTGCCTGTGTGAATACCAAGAATTATCAGTCTTTGGTGTAAACATGGATATTGATGGTCTTGGGTTAATGAATCTGGAAAGTCACCTCAAGGGAACTCCACATCTGCCTGTTATGTAATGTGACTTATTTATAATAGTGTGGCAAAGCACAACAGCGGTGCTTGTCATCAGAGAGAGAAAGTCCCATATCAAAAAGAAGGGAGGCAGAAGATTCAGCTGCCACCTTCGTGGGTGCTGTGCTTCACTCTGACACAAGATGCAACCACAACTTCTAGGTTTCCTGCATTTGTCCCCTGTTGTCCTGAAGCAACTAGGGAAGCAAACAATTATATTTCTCTGTTGGCTATTGTCCTGATTTTCCTAGGCTTGTTATCAGGAAGGAATTTGCTACTATGTGGATTCAGCAAATGGTTGCATTCAGTGGTCTTAATATTTAGCTCACTGAATCCAAATGTTATCTAATTCCATTAATGACTATTAGACTTCCTATCTATGTCAATACTACAGGTCAAGAGCCTTCCTTCCAGTGCCCTCTTTCCCCAGAGCTATCTGTTTGGGTATGTCTACACTGCAAAATTAATTCGAAATAGCAGAGCGCTTAATTCGAATTTGGTAAACCTCATTCTATGAGGAATAATGACAAATTCAAAATAGCTATTTCAAATTAAGTGCTGTGAAGACACTTAATTAGAAATTGAGGGCCTCCAGACCTTCCCAAGGAGCCCTGGTGGCCACTATGGGCACAACCAGGAAAACTTACTCTACTCTCCCCCAGCCCGGGAGCCATTAAAGGGGTAGACCCTGGCCACAGTGTCTGTGCCAGCTCCAAGCCCACCAGCCCAGAGCCAGCAGCGGCCACCAGGGCCCCTGATCCAGTGGCCCCAAAACATGACCCAGCAAGCCCC